AAAAAAAAAAAAAAAAAAAACAGCAAAGCCCTACCCAACCACCATTCTACACACCCCTCACATGGATCTCTTCTTCTGCAATGCTCTGTGGAAGGCACTCTTCACCTGAGCATTCCTCAGGCTGTAGATGAGGGGATTCAGCATTGGGTTAAAGAGACTGTGGAATAGGGACAGCATTTTCTCCTGCTCCTCTCGTTGATTAGAATCTGGGACCATATAAACCAACATGGCTATGCCAAAGAAGAGCCCAACCACACAGAGGTGGGAGGAGAAGGTAGAGAAGGCCTTTATACGGCCCTCCTTTGACTGGATCTTTAGGATGGCCCAGAGGATGTGTATGTAGGAGACAAGCATCAAGCAAAGGGGCCCAACTAAGATGAAAACACCGGTAGCGAGGATGACCACTTGGTTGATCCAGGTGTCAGCACAGGCCAGCTTGAGGATAGACAGAATTTCACAGAAGACGTGGTTCACATACCAAGGCCCACAGAAGGGCAACCTTAGAAGCAGAATCGCCTGTATCAGGGACAGGGTAAACCCACATGACCAGGAAGTGACAGCCAGGATTGTGCACACTCTCCAGCCCATGATGACAGTATACTGGAGAGGGCGGCAGATGGCCACATATCGATCGTAGGACATCACCACCAAAATCAGGCACTCTGTAGCAGCAAAGGCCAAATACAAGAACGTCTGCATTATGCATGGAGCAAAGGAGATGGTTCTCCTTCCGCTCAGTAGATTTGCCAGCATCTTGGGGACATTGTTGGAAGCATAGGACATGTCAAGGATGGCCAGATGTGCAAGGAAGAAGTACATGGGTGTGTGCAGTCTGTGGTCCAGATAGATGAGTCCCAAGATCATGCCATTGGCCAGGAGGCTGAAGATATATAACAGGGAGAAGATCCAGAAGAGGAGCTCTTTCATCTCTGCACTGAGCTGGAATCCCACTAGAATGAACCCTGTGACCCATGATTTGTTGCCTCCCATTTCCAAGTGACAGTCCATCAATGACTGAAGTGTGATAGGAAGGTCAGAGCTGGAGAATCAATGAAGATTTGTGTTATTTATCTGAAAACAAACTTAGAGAAAGGTTGTATGGTTGTTCCTGTTAGACAGCCTCCCCAGCTTCCCAAGATTTGCTCCCTTTCTGTTTTTAGCATTTACATGAAATAAAGTTATACTTACAGAAAAGTGTCAAGAATTTTGTGAAGAACTGCTGTATAACTTTATGCCATCTTAGCAAATATTAACATTCCTTTCGTATTTGTCTTATTTTCTTTCTCTCTCCATACTTATTTTTTGAACCATTTGAGATGAAAGTGTAGACATAATGCCTATTTACCCCTAAAGTCTTCATTTTCTTGCTACAAAAAATGTTATTTACTAACCTGAACACAGTATAATTATTAAAATCAGGAAATTTAATATTGACACGTTTCTTTTCTTTAACATACGATATTCTCCCTCCACTCACACCTGTCCAGGTCCTCATCCAAGATTGCACAATATATTTAATGTCATCTGTCTTTAGTCTCCTTTCATGTGTAATATTTACTCAGTCTGTTTGTGCCTTTCCAGTCACTGATAATTTGAAGAGTGTACAGAAATTGTTTAATAGAATATTCCACAA